CCCGTTGTCCACAGCAACTTCCACTTCCACGGTAAAATCCACTTACCTTCTTAAAAACAATGTATCAATAATCTATGTAATATAGTGGGAGCAGATAAAAGTTTTTTTAAAGGTTAATAAACTACTCATTAATTAACTTTGGATAACCGAATGTTTCCGTATTTATGTCACAACTTTAGCCATAATGTAAGGCATAGTTGAAATGTAACATTGTTATTCAATGTCTAGACTTTCAATCAACTAACTGGCAGAGAGCGACCTGTTACTTTGCACGTATTTACTCTATGAGTGCTAGAATATTTTCGCATTGGGCGAAACAAATTTTAAATATTGATATTGCTGGAAACAACCACTCTGCGGACTGATATCCTGACCATTATTGAATTACACCTGCAATATCTGGTAAACAGTTAGGGCCATTCGTCAGCTGGGCCATCAGATATATACCGCTATCAAACTTATTAGATTGGCAGAGAGCGTCCTGCTATTTCGCAAAAATGTGAAAGCAAAACCTGAGTTGTCACTAGGTGAAATAATTTTTTATATAGTTCAGTGCTAGCCGAGACATTAGTTCGCAGAGTAGGTATTTCCCGCAGTATCATCAAGTTAAAAATTTAGCACATCTCCTGCTTTTGCAAGCATGGTTGATGATCGTATGTTCCTGTGGATTGAGGAACCCAATCTCATTCAGTGCCAGTGGCGGCGCGTGAACATTGATTGAATGTGTTCTGCTTAGGGTTGTTACATTTGTTGAATTGAATTTCGGAATATTAAGTGGCCGGAGAGTCTCTAAATGGCGCCGCAGGCGAAAAATTTTAAAATTTTCAAGGTCACGCGTTTTCCTGGCACTTCTGAATTCCAAGGAACAATCCATTTATCTAAAAATACAGATTTTCACAAGAACGAATTTTGAAATTGATACCTTTTTGAAATATCTATTCATGAATTACCTACTGACGGTATAAATAAATTGGAATAAACTAAATATATTTTGTCAGCCCTCGTATACAGTTTTTAGTAATAAAATATGAAATGTTCGATTTTTTTTATCAAAAAGTGGTATACTTATTGAAAATGGCTAAAGTCAACCGTTGGAGAGATATTTTTGATGTTATAAATTTGTATTTCGGATTTCATACCACCAGGAATATTGAAGTCCAAAACGGACATTTTTGCAGAACTCATTACCTCACAGCATTTACACTTAGTATTGGTATTTGTGTGACAAAATTGTGTTCATTTTAAAATTGTGAAGTTAATATTTATAGTAAATTATCCAATAGGTAATTTTCGAGAAATCGAATAAAGAAATAAGAAATGAAAAAGAGAGGTTCATCATATACTGGTTTTATGTTTAGCAAAATATTATGTAATTCAGTTTATTAGTAGTACTACCAAAATAACGAAGAACTAGTTAATTATGTCGCCAATAATAATTTTTTTTAGATGTCGAATATTTATACCTATCTTCCGTCTATATTCAATTCTATATATAATGGCTTTTTGAGCTTGAGATCTCAATTTAAAATAGTTAAAAGTTTGAAGGTCATAAATATAAAGTTTCAATTGCATTGCAAAAACAAATAATTACCTATACGATGATTTTATCAAGAATTACATTTTCTTACATATTTATCCCTGGTTTGGACCCAACCCTGTGTATTTACCATGCACCTATTTAAATCGTAACACTAAGCTTAAGTAGAAAACAAAATATATGATTCCTTGTGGAAATTAATATTATGAAATCCATCGCCCACAAGAAATTTCCACAAAATTATAGGGTGTCCGGAAAGGTCATGTCAAAAATGAAGGGGTGTACAGAGGAGCTCAAAATAATTGTAGTACTTCATAAAAATTTTTTTCCTATCGGGCTTGGTTGTGGAGTTATTCGCCTTCAAAGAAAGACGTTTGAAAAACAAATTCAGTTATAACTTACCACGACAACAATGACATTTCGGCAATTAAAGTAACTCATGGTAATGTTCTTTTCCGAGTTTAAACTGATATTCAATAAGCCTGAATTATACAGGAGCAGACAAAATGATCCATTTAAATTTATAGGTACATCTTTGACGGTGTTGCCAAATTTGATATTTTTCTGTCATAGTTCGATTCCTCTCTCACTTTGTTAAAAAAACGGTGTACCGTACATCAGTCGATATCTTGTACCGTTTTTGAGAAAATCGAAATTTATTAACAACATACATTTATTGTATCAAAAATGTGATACTTATATTTTTGAAAAAATTTTGGTTTCTATAGAATTAAAATGAAAATGAAAGTAAGTTGTTCAATATGTGAGTTTCAATGCATTTTTTTGCTCAAACACCTCTGCTGTACTCAAAATAACATGTGGTGATCATTTCTAATGATGTCGGCGTATGTAATTACGCGATTTAATAATTCTTCCCTACTATTTATAGGAGTTTGATAAACAAGACTTTTAAGAAGGCACCGAAGATAAAAATCGAGAGAATTAAGATCGGGGCACCGAGGCAGCCACGGAAAAGTACTACCTCGATCCATCGATCGAGAAATGTGGTATTTAAATAAGCCCTTGCTGCCTTGCTAAAATGGGGTGGTGCACCATCGTGCATATGCCACATATTATTTCAAATATTTAAAGGGACGTCTTCCAATAACAGATTAAGGTGTTTTTGCAATAAATGTAGATATTTATCCTCATTTAAAACGTCATCAATGATATGTGGTCCCACTAAGTAGTTTCCAATTAGGTATAACCTAATGTATTAATGAAAATTTTTGTTGTGTTTTGTCTGAATAATAGCATAGTCAGTTCAAATATGTAAATTCTATTCTATTTGGAAAGCGGTTGGCGTAAATCTGAAGAGCTTCAGAAGCATTAGGTACATTGTACAAGTTCGTACATTAGATGAATATATGCGAATTCTTCATAGTTAAAATCCTCCATGATCTTGAATCAACAAAAGGTGTCAAAATGATTTATGACAAATATCTAACTGCTTATTATACATATTTGTTGACAGTCATCTCAATTTCCAAGAATTTTGAAAAAATGTTAATATCGCATTTTTGATACAATGCATGTTTGTTGTTAATAAAATTCGGCTTTCTCAAAAACGATACAAGATATCGGTTGATATATGGCATACCTTTCTTTATCATATATCATATATCATAGAAGAATCGAAGTATGAAAGAAAAATGCTAAATACGGCAACGCTGTTTAAACTTGGATATGAACATTATCATTAATTTAATTGCCCAAATTTCATTGTTATCATGGTAACGACTTAGAAGTTATAATTCGCATTTGTTTTCAAACTTCTTTCTTTGAAGGCGAATAACTCCACAACGAAGCCCGATAGGAAAAACAAATTTTTTGAAGTACTACAACTATTTTGAGCTCCCCTGTATACCCCTTTATTTTTTACATTACCTTTCCGGTACATATCCTTTGGTACTATAGTTTCACAACACTTTATACAGATATGCAGATCCAGTCTCCACCAATAAATTCCACGATGGAAATTAAAAGAGCTAGTCCAATATTCAATTTTGTGTTGGTTCACCCTGTATAAGTACCTAATAGGAAATAATAAGGAACCTTTTCTGGAAACGTCAGTAGAACAAGTTTGTTGTGAAATAATTTTATTAGTGCCAATAGAAAGTAGATGCTTTCATTTTTGCAAACCACTTGATCTTAATTATCAACATATATTTTTTTTCATTGTTGAACGGCTAAAGACAAGATGATCTATCTGAAAGTTCCTTAGAAAGTTGTTTCACTAATGTGAAAAGATAGTCCCAATACAGGGTGTCTCGAAATTAATGCAACAAAATTTGGTCACAGATTCTTAAGACAGATTTAGGGGACCCGTATTCTTTATTTTTGTCAAGTGGCCCTCTCCTTCGGAGTTACAGCCCCCTGAAGTCCGCCCCTAAGAATAATCTTTTTTTTTATATCTCAGACCCCTGTTGTACGAGAATCACTAAATTTGGTACACAGGGGTTTTATGACATGTGGAATCTGATGGTGCTACGTTTTTTGGCGGGGAACCTCCTTAAGACAATTTTTCGTGGACCCCCTTGTCTTTGGAGCCAAAAAAATTTAGTCGTATATTTAAATTCCTTAAAAATTATTGCTTCTGTAGGAAGCCATTAAATTTAGAAACTTTTTGTCTCCTTATACTTTTTTCGTAAAACGCAATGTTTTCGAGAAAAATGTCAAAATGGGGTCGAATGCATATCGTGATTCGCCATTTGCCTCAAGAACATTGCGTTTTACGAAAAAATATATCAAGAAACAAAAAAGTTTCAAAATTCAATGGCTTTCTTGCTAACAAATAATTTTAAAAAAATAATTTTCTGGTTCCAAAGACAAGGGCGGTGTCCACGAAAAAGTGTCTTAAGGGGGTTTCTCGCCAAAAAGTGTAGCACTGTGAGATTCCACATGTCATAAAACCCCTGTGTACCAAATTTAGTGATTCTCGTACAACACGGTTTTGAGATACAAAAAAGACTTCTTAGGGGCAGATTTCAGGGGGCTGTAACTCCGAAAGAGGGGGCCAGTTGGCAAAAAGAAAAAATACGGGTCCCCTAAATTTGTCTTAAGAATTTATAACCAAATTTTGTTGCATTAATTTCGGGACACCCTGTATAAACTCGTGCTTCATGAGTAATTTGACCTTTTTACATACCATATTTTTGATTTATATCTTATCATTAGTTGTACAAAAAATGTGCAGTCACGAAACAATTAGTTTCAAAGATGTTTTAATTAGCAGCAATTTGTCATTACTTTAATGTTGCACATCATTACAGTTACTGAGGACGTGTTTAAAAAAGTACAACTTTTTGGTATAAAATTTATGATAAACCTAGGGATCCATTATATTTTTTGAAAGGTACCTGACATCTTAGGCATTGCAACTGTAAACAAAATCGCAGTTATAACGCTGCTTTATATAAAAAAATAACCTATTGTACTTCTGTTGCTATGAATGACACACCGCTCTTTGAGAAGGAGGGGAACTAATAAATACTGGACCGGTTAAAGCAACACAAACATTACCTGGCAAAGTTGTAAACAATGAAAATCTCAATTGTGGCACTTTTTGTTTTGGGTGAGTAATTACAATTTTTTTTATTTAAATCAGAAGTGCAGTGTGTAATATTATGACAGCAAAATAAATTCTTTTAAAATATGTTGGTACACATGTTGAGAAAGTTGTTATAAATTTGTGTTACATTTAAATTAAATATTTCAATTTAACATACAAATATGAATTACGACAACATCATTATCATATAATTATTCCGCTGTTTTCTTTAATTATCTTTATCATATTTAAACATGACCAGTTACAAGAATTCTTCAGTTTGGTTGACCCAACACAGCAAAAGTTCTTTGTTCATGAAATACTTATATTATTCATTATTTTAGCCTCTTGAGCAAGTGTAACGTTTATGAACGTTTTTGAAGGTCTACTTCTTTTTATAATGATGAAGTAGATCAATAACATATTCTCTGTAAAGATTAAGTAGCTATAAATAAATTGATAATTGATACAAATATATTACAAATTCATTCAATAAATAACGTTTAAAAATGTGTTTCATGCACCATAAAAATCTCAGTAGGAAGTTTATGGGAATATTTTTGACATGGCATGTAACTAATAGAAATGAGAAAATGATGCCGTTATTTTGTTTTCGTACTTTACTTGCCTTTATTATTAATATTAATTTTAGTTTTTTTTATAACAAAACATGTACCTACAATTATTTGATTCTTCAGTTTATACGATTCGAATTATTTTATGAGTTCCAAGCATTGTTCTGATAACGGATAAAATATATTTTGGCTTTTATGGGCTAACTTTCTTATACTTATTAACAATTGATTCTTAAAAAATATGTAGTTTAGAATAAAAAAGTAGAACTATTTTTACCCATGAGTCCATTGTCTTTTGTTTTTGAGATATAGATCTTTAAAAAACAATGTATTGCGTTGAAATTTGATACAAGCAATTTTGAGGATGTTGTATGTATTGTTAATTTTTGACTTACGTTTAGGGGTCGCTAGTAACTATCTCTCCCTCTTATATTTTAGGATATAACTTTTTTGAGGTTATAGGTTTGATGCGCTGTTAACGTATTTCTTTTAAAAAAATATAGTTTATCACTAGCTTCTATATTTTATAGTTTATTTTAAAGATTAAGTTAATTCGAGTAAATTCAAAATTTTCCCTGAAAAAATCTAGATATATAAAAGATATCTAAGTTCATAGATAATCTTGACGTATCAAAATGATTAAATATTTCGTAATAATAATAACAAGGTGGTGCTAGAACAACAGGAATAAAATATATTTATTTGAAAGATTACATCATTTAATGGTTTCAATATTTATTGTTAGATACATCAATTTTAATTTTTATTTTAGATCGTTATTAGCTGTCTACCTCATATTGCTGGTATAATTAAAAGAAATATTTAAATTAAAAAAAAAACAGTTTTATTAATAATATAATAGTTCTGTAATAATGTTACGTTTAATGATTAAACAAATACAGGATTATAACTTTTTAATTGTCTAATACAGGTATCTTTCTTATTTTAAGAGATACAGAAATTGTTAAATGAGCAAAATTGATCTAAATTGTATGCGCATCACGGAGACTCGTTTTTAAATTTAGAAGAAAACTGATTTTATATTATTTCTTTTTTAGTCGTGTTTCACTTGTTTTTCAAGATTTTAGGACAAAAACTTGTAGTCTGATATAAAATGATGTGAGGAATCGATTTTTTTTCTCTTTATAACAATGTATAATTTATGGTGTTTTCATAAATATATAACTAAGATATTGAATATAATTATAGGCAATTTTAATTAAAAAAAGTAGCCATGTGAAACAATTGATTTTATTCTATAATTATTAACACAGCAACCTTAATTTATTTAACAATAATAAGAGCAACGAACAAAACAACATAGATAAAACAATTTACCAATTAATTTTGTTTTACTTTATCTTGTTGTAATCATGCGTATGTAAAATCTCTGACAATAAGTTTATAGTTACTTTATAGCATCCTCAAAAACTTACTTTTGATTTTTTAAATCATTTTTGGTCCCTTTTATCTCAAAACATAAAAGATAATGGTCCCATGGCCTCCAGAAAAAAATCGTCATATTTTTTAATGTTTTACCACACCCTTATTTATGGCATGCATTTTCAAAACAACCTGTAAAAAAGTAACACAAATTTGAACCTTAACAATGAACGACGCCTCTAACAAAATTTAATAGATAACCATAACGTTTTTTATCTATGCATGCCCCTTCGACATTATTTATGATGACCAAGTCACGTCCTGTTTTAGACCTTACATGAGAGGGTACTGTTTAGCAGGATGTAGCAGTATTTTTATATTACCGGTTGACAGCTTCTTTATGCTTGAAGTTTATTGTTATTACAAATACAGTACCTACCACCAGTTTTCGCTGATCTAGAGAGTAGTTTGGGCGTGTCAAGTATGCAGTAAAGAAGAAATTTAACGATCATTGAGTAATGAATTAGGTACGAGGATTTTATGAAAATTAAACTTAACCTTAGCGTCCCCAGCAACAGCAACAATGAGAAATCAATTTATAATGCATTGAGCATTCGAAATGTTTGGGTTATTTTTAAATTCGTATTAATAGAGTGTAGTCATGGGTTTATGTCTCACTTGAGACAATTGTCGGAATGAGATGATTATTTATAATGCATAATACGTCGGACGGGAATAACATAAACTATAATTATAGTAGTTTGTTACAGTGTTGTTTAAGCAGGTACACTGACAGCATTTAACCATTGTTTTTATTGTTAGATTGTATATGCATATGTTAATTTTGATTTCCGTTGAAATCATAATTCCGAGAAATGTAAAAGTATATAAATGCAAGGTTTATTTCCAGAATAAATTTAGTTTAAACAAATATACAATGGATTTTTTTTTAAATTTAGTTACTTCCATTTAATGGTAGCTTACCAGAAATGAAAAATAAATATATAGCAATCAAAGGATATATTTAGAAATGAAAATCAGGTGCATCGAAATAAAAAAAATGATTGTTATATATTATCATACATATTATAACAGAGCATGTAATACAAACATTATAACCAGAGAGCGGACAATTTGTATCTTTAACCTTGAACATAGATATGTCATTCATAAACCTAGATACATTATCCATGACGCAGTGGCGTGTCGGGTATGCATCGGAAATTTACGTGATAATTCACGAAAATTCCACGGTACATACATTTTTAGGCGTTATAAAATAGTTAGAAAATAGAAATTGTATACTACATATTTATTAAATAAAGTTCGGTTAAAAATAGTGTCGTTCTTTTAATTGGAAATTAGGAGTCAACGTAACGAATATCCTCAGGCGACGCACATGATAGAATAGTCCAACTCACGCTCCATTCATAACAGGGCTGCAGTTTGAATTCTGACCAATAGGAATTCGATAAACGCAACCGATGTCGACGGATGGTCTAGAGATGGGCGCGAGTGTCATTTCATTTCTTTAGAACTAAAATAACTTAATTATTTTCTCGTTATTTAACCTGTTCACATGATTTATGGATTTTAAATAAAGGGTACAAATCTTCGCGAGGATAATACGATATATTTACTATACATAATAATTATATTTTGCATAGTTTATACACAATACATTTTTGAACGCGTATACATCTCTATCTAAATTTGACCTATTCTTCGGGTTAAAGACACACATTGTCCGCTCTCTAATTATAACAAAGTTATTAGCTTCAATTAATTGTTCAAGAAATTGAAGAGAATAGGACTCTTACGTAATGGCCAGTGATAATGGGTAATCTTTTTAGAGACTCTTTTTTATTCAATAGTGCAGACTTAGTTATAGAATTTTAGCACTTTTGTCTGTCTTAATCGTAGAAAAAGAAATTGATTAGATATTAACGTTTATTGAAGTCGCTTAAACTGACTTCAGATGATAACATCACTTGACAAATATTTATCAAACGTAAACAAATGTCGTATCGTGTTGATGATCTATATCGAAACAATTATTTCACATGTCAGTTATTTTCTAGTCATACAAACGGTACACGAACGCACCTGCAGCAACAAGGCTGCAGTAGGGTTAGTTTCCATGGGCTGGAATACATAACTCCTTTATATTCTAAGGTACCACAAATAAACAATTTGTTGTGATAAATATTGTTAAATGCAAAACCCCTTGTAACGTATTTTGTTTTCAGTCACATTAGTGGCGTCAGTCTATGGCTATCCTTCCAAGGGTTCCACAAAAGCTGCCCTAAATAAGAAACCATCATGCTATAAAGACTGCGGAGATGTTTACAAACCAATATGTGTGGGTGACGGATCAGGAAAAGAAAACAAGAGTTTTGGTAGCGAGTGCGTGCTAGCCAATTACAATTGCGAAAATAAAGCCAGTAAGTACTTAATTCTTTTTGTTTGTAAATATCGTTTATTTTAAATATAAAAGTTATTACAAAATAATTGATATAGTACTTAACATATTTACATGATGGTATAGGTATGCAATAATCGTAACAAAATTATACTGGATGTCTTGCAGAAAATGATGTATTAAAAAAAGATTGATTTAAAAAATACTACAAATTGACTATTGATGACAAGTGATTTTCCCTTTGCTTTTAAATACGACGATTTGTTGTTAATTTAATGCTTCGGCAATGGAGCACTTTCACATGAATTCAGGAATGTTTATTATATTTTTGGTTCATAGTAAATAAGGAGATATTTGATGTGATAGATAAGTATGAGATTTTACAGTCATGTGAACAAAATTAATAACTAAAATTAACATCTATAAGATCTATCTAACATATATAATGGTATTTAACTGTCATTTTAACAAAAAAAAAAACAAAACTAGAAATGATGTGCTGTATTTCTTTTCATGAGGGTTCATTTTCCGCCTCTCAAAAATTTGTTTACAATTCTACAGTTCCTATGAACTGATATGATACTAAACCCTATAAAATTGTTTTAATTTTTTTTAATTTTGATAAAATGCTTATAATATTTTCATAGTAGAATTCAAGAATGTTAATTGATTGATTGATAAATGTGAGTTTTCCATTATAACTTAATTTAGAAATAAGAAGAAAAGTCCAATGGCTCACAATCCTTTTATTTTTTAAAAAGGAGGTTACATTTTTTCACATCATCTTCAGGTCACAAGGATATTAATATTACAATTACCTACAGGAATCAATTCAACAATTTTTAATATCCAAAACATATTAAGATTTTTGTCAAGTTAGATTAAATTTCAATTTTTTAATCAAACATATGCTAAAGACCAAATAACAACAACGTTACAAATACACAGGTTATTGTGTATTAAAAAAAAAGGATTGTGAGAAATTGGACTTTTCTTCTTATTTCTAAAATAAGTTATTCAAGAATGTTTATTATATTCTTGGTTCATAGTAAATAAGGAGATGATAGAATATCTAAGTATGAGATTTTACACTCATGTGAAGAAAATTAACAACTAAAATTAACATCTGTAAGATCTAACATATATAATCGTATTGAACTGTCATTTTAACAAAAAAAAAAAAAAAACTAGAAATGACGTGTATTTCATTTCGTGAAGGTCCATTTTCCGCCTCTCAAAAATTTGTTTACAATTCTATAGTTCCTATGAACACTGAGATGATATTCTAAAACCTGTAAAATTGTTTTTATTTTTTAAATTTTGACAAAATCCTTACTGGAGTGGGGATAAATATGAGCCGATATTAAGTATTATTTTGTGTAAAAGTGTAAAATTTAACACTCAAATTTTACTATTACTTCATATTAAACGGATATCATACTAACATAAAAATCATGTATGTCACTTGTGGCAAGCCTTAACTAAGTCCTAAATTAGCTTTAGTCCATATCCTAAGAAGTTAAATGTTCATATTTAAATGTGTAGGTTTATAAAAAACTTAACTTAGCCTCAGTTCTAAGGAGATTTTAAGGTCTGACCTTGACAGTTCCTAACTATTAACTTTTACGATCACCATTACCTAAGACCACAAGAACCTAAGTGCAAAAGTTAGGTTAAGAATAAATTAGGTTTAGGGCTAAAACTAAGGCTCAGGATTAAGGTAATCTTTTTATGTATAGTTGATATATTATTACCATTTATCATTTTCAAGTGTAAATTGTTAGACAATATACAGAATAAGGTAACTATGTTTTTACATACGTGTGGTAAATGTGTATATGAGTAGGTACCTATTTATATAAAAGCACGCACTAATAGTTTTTACTAAATATCGCCATCTATTACACAATTTTGTTTATTTCTTGTTTTGTTATTTTGATATTAAACAGTGGTGTTTTAATAAACGACTCATGTTCAGATAATCTAGAAAAATTACTTTATTTAAAATAAGTATGAGCTCTAAGTTTTGCATTTTAATTTTGGTTCAATTTTCAATGTATTCATTCAATAAAATATGGACAGTTTATTCTCAGAAGTACGAGCAAAACTAGTGTTGTTACAATTTTAATAACAGCAGTAGTTTTATAAAGTTTTTGTGATTAACAACAAAATTATTTCACTTTTTAGTAAATCAAATTATAAACTTCACGTTTATTTGGTTGTAACTTCAAAATTGCAAAACTGGAGTAAAACATTTAATTTCACCTTAAGTATGTGACTTTGCCCCACTTTCCCCTACTTAAATAAATAATGCAGTTAATTTCATATTAAGTTTTTAGGCAAATATTTACTGACACAAACATCATAAAATAGACAATGAATAAGTTCAGTTATCAAATGGAACGAACACAATGAATTTCTACTATAAGCCACTAAAAAGTAACATTAACCAGTTAAATAACTAAAACCTACATTTCATATGACCCGTGTCATTCAATTACAAAATTCAGCGAATTTGTCCATTCTTTTGTAAAACCTTGTTTTAATGGCACTGAAGCGTTTACTTCCGGTGACCTCAAAAAAATAATTGCGGATGGTGCTCGGCTCATTTTAATTGCATTTTACACCCTGTTTCTAGTTTTATCTTGCCGTCAAAAATTAATGCAATTGTTATGAACAAATTAAGTTATTTTGATTGACAAATGTGGTTAAATTAATTAGTTTGTTTATAAGACCATGAATACACCCACAAAAAAAGGTTAAGTTCACAGCAAAATATTGAGTGTTAAATTTTATACTGAAATAACAGTGTGATAAGATTTGGTCCAAAAAATAAAAATTAAACAAATTTACCTAACCTTCATTACATTATTTCTATTATTTTATTAACACTGCCAACTATAATTATTATTTTCAAAACATTAATTACATTTGAAATGAGCACCGCTTTTGTTACCATTTTTGCTTTTACTTTTGCCTTTTCAGTTATTGTGTTGGGATGAACAAACCAGAATAAGAAAGTGCTTAATACTCATATTGTGATTATGAAACATGTATGAACATAATAATCAAATTAAGCAATTACGAAAAGCACATAAAGTATATTAAACTCCATATTGATGAGTTTGAACAAAAATCTAGATTTACGATAAAACCAATAAAACAAAACTTTAAAGCAGAATTAGATGGAACTTATCAAGTTGAAGAAGATAAAATAAAACTAATAGAATTGAACAATATTTAGTTATAGTTTCTTTGCATTTATATTGACAATTACTACAATAAATATTGATATTATTTATCTCAGTTGCACTAGAATACCAATTAAATAAAATTAAAAACTCTCAGAATATGGTGATATTGATGAACAGGTTACTAAATTTTATGGAGAAAAATACAATTTGGATCTAAAAAGTAAATAAATGTTCCTAGAAAGAAGATTATTTTTAAATATAATACACCGTTACTATAAGACAAATAACAAATTTTTTAGAAATAGATAAATGACATTTATTAAATAAAATATACAACATATTTTTGTTTTTTAAGACATTAAAAATTTAAAAATTTCGTAAATCAGGTACATTACCACATCCCCATTTTTTCTGGACAATTTTATAGAATTAGTTTTACAGAATGTAACTAAAATACCTGGTCAAACTTTAATGACGAATTTTATTCCACCAACTAATAAAAAAGTTTCTCTAAATTTTTGACCAGTCTCGACTGAATATTTAATAATATAATTTAAGTATTTAACACGTAAGAACGGTTCAAGGAAAATAGTTTCAAATAATATACAAGGTGTAAGTAAAATGCTTAGCCAAACATTAATGAGGAGTTCTACCTCGTAAATTAATGAAAAAAAGACCTTAAAAATGTGTTATTTTATGGTGCAAAATATAATAAAAATATAACATAAAGTACTATAAAATACATTAATAGTCATTATATTTTTGCCTTATTTCTTATTATTAATATTGCCGCTGAAAGAAATTTAACAGAAAAAGTATTGACTTATTGGTTTGAGCTGTCTTAATTGGCCGCGCACCAAAGGCGTGCGGATCATCAACATAAAATAAAGTGAACAATGACTATAAGATTTATCATTGTATCATTGTGAAACACGTAAATTGTTCTACGCACCGTTGCGTACTGATGTAATATTTGCATAATTAAATAATCTACTTCCAAGTTGGTAATTTCCACTCCGGGTTGTATTTATTCCAGTATTTACTGTATCAAATGGTAGGTTACATGCAATCAATATGAAGATTAAATCAAACATAAGTTGAGTCTTCTCGTTTTCGAGAGTTTTTTTTTGTATGTGTGTTGTGCACTGTTTAATACTGATACTTTATGTTTATTAATATTTATTTTAAACGTATTTATACATATACAAGTATGAATATTGTTATGTAATGTAATTTAATTGTTGTGTACTTTATTTATGTATACAATTTAAGTTTATGTACTTTCGGATAGCTCAGATAGTCAAACAGGAAAATCTACTTACCTTCATCTGCTTAAATATAGATGCCAGTATCAGTGAAAGTTTATATGTATTTTGTTTTTCTTTGTTTTATAAATTTAGAATTCTTTTTACCAAGATAAATTATTCTTAGAATTCAATTTGGGTAATACGAAAATTTATTAATTTTGAAATTAAAAAAAAATTCTTCAATATAAAATAAACCTGAAGGTAATATTTTTCCTGTATAATGTAGCACAAAACTATTCCCTCCAGGGGTGGTTCTTTAGAAGAAACAATCACTGACTTTTATTATTTTTTTTAAATGACTTCAATAAAACTTTAATTTTGTCAAACTTTAAATCAAAGAATGAAATCCTGATTTCCAAAAAAAAATTATATTAAATTAAATGGACACAATTTAGATGAATTTATGTTTTCCCTACGTAACCTATGCGAGTAATATTAACTAAATTGTTTCTGTTTAATTTAAATTCTGTTTAAATTTCTGTTTACAAGTATATACTAAATCTCTCGCAACTAGTTTCCAATTTTAGACACAGTTTTGCTCCTTCCGTTCAACTTTGATGATCCTGTCTCGTTTGTCAAAATTTCAAATTGCAACTCTCGTTACAACTCTCTGTTACAAGAATAAATCTTCTACTGTCTGTCTGCTCTTCTATTACATCTGGTATACGGTTTGTTATCTTGTATTTGGTCCTACACAGGAGACTCTACCCTCTGGGAAATGTTTATAATTTAATACTTGTCAATTCGTTACCTTTTTCTATACCTGTTTATGTCTTATATTCACGATTTCTGTCTTCTTTAGTTATTTATGGACTTTGTAATTTAAATTATCTTTTCTTCGTATTTATCTCAACTTTTTTAATATTTCCTTCTTTTTCAAAAATCAACTAACTAACTTGTTTTTTTGTTTTTATTTTCAATCTCCAAACCAATACTTCCTTTACTAAATATATCACATTTTCATACATCTCAATATACTGAATTACATTATTGTTTATATTTTTTTAGTAAAAGAAAGTATTGCTCGTTATTTAACTTTCCCTATGACCACATGCACTTGAAATAACACGTGTTCAGTGCCGCTTTGTTGGACAAATTTACTACTGATAAAGCTGTGATGCTGACCTGAGTACATAATTGATTACTACTTGCTTTTTTATTAATTTTATAAAAAAATAAAGAATTAAACATTTAAACGAAGGGGGCAGCTTAAATAGGTATTTTTGGAACTCATTATTTTTCCTTTGCTTTCATAAAATTCTTTTCTATTCCAAAAAATATATCTTTCCACTTGAATAGTTTTTACATGTTAATAATATTATAGCTACTTACCGGTAAATTTGTTTTACTTGTTTTTTTGGTCAGTATAGTATGAATTGTTTGCTGTTTTTTAGCACTAACTACGCTCGACATAATTACACAAATTATTAATCAAAACACAACTAAAATTGTAAAAGCAATCGTTCCTATCCGTTTGTGTTTATGGTGGTGTATTGTACACAATTTAATTTATTACTTTTTAATAAATAATGCGTATGCCTATGTCCCGCGGCTCAGTTCTGACAGCCCTACTTATTGGGTTTATACTATTTTATAAAATTTGAAATGAATGTTTATAATTCTTTTTGTTTTTGTTTTAGATTGGAAACTTATCAGTCAGGGAGAATGTCCAGGAGGTGGCGGAGTTCGTCTGAGTTAATTGAATCATTAATTAATTCTTCCATATTATTTTTATTGCCAGTAGTGAGAATTTATTTCCGTATGCTATAAAATAAAGATATGTTAGGTGTAGTATCATGTTGTTTAAACACTTTTATCGTTTGCTTAAAAAATATAATTATAAACAATTTTTGTACATTTCCTTGCAAGGTCAATGACCAGTAGACTTTTTTATGTTTTATAAGTGACCTATATTTAGTTAATTACAATGCCTAATCTTCTCACTGTGTGTTAAACATTTACATTTTGTTTATCTGTTGAAAAGTTTTGGAATCTTTTGATTATTCTCCATAAAAAGAAGTCTCTTATTTTATATTACTTTGGTGTCAACAATTATTTTCAAGATATAATCCGAAGTAAATCCAAAATAAATCTCTAACTATGAGATACATTGTAGAATTCAGTTAATACAGTTAAAAAAACATTTATTTTTATATTTAATAGACATATAAAATAAGTGCGTTGTGTTAGTATTTTAATTCAATTTATTTAATTATGATAAAGGATTTGATTCAAAGATATTACACTATCGGAGCAGTGAAAAACCTATTGGCACTGGGAAAAAAATTTCAAAAGGTCAGATTTAGTTAAAAAACATTAAATATTATAATTAACTAAATAATTAACTAAATTAGTAATTGTCTATAAAATAAAGTGACATCTTCAGAACAGTGAAGAAAAGAAAATTGAAGGAGGTTGCAACTGTCGCATTGGTTGTCAAGTGTCTAATGGTACAGATGGTAGTGAGGAAATTCTCAATAGATTTTCAAACGACAATATGGAAACGATCTGTATATTTCCATAATTATAGGAAAGGAGATATAGTAAAACATATAATAGTTATTTAAGAGACAAGTTAAAGTTGGTTGGTTAAAAAAATGAGCGAAAAGAGTGTTTTTAAAAGCCACATGAGTATGGCTTACGGTTTTATCTTCGACCATGCTGTCAGTTAATTTTTCATTAATACATATTTGTATATCGTAAATTTAATTGGCAGCTAGTATTATTCGAGTGTCATGACTGAATCGACATATTGTTAAAAATGTTAAGTAATGAAATCGCCATAGTTGTTCTTAAAAATTTAATTATATGTTTAAAATATCAAGAGAAACCTAAGTGTAAATATCAAGTTTAGTTGTAGCAATTTTTGGTATTGCCAATACATCTAGAAGCGATAAGTTTCATAAAATGTGTACTGGTGATGTGGAAGAAGATACTGCCAATATTTTGATGGTGAAAATTCCTTGAACTATAGAAATTAAACCACTTAGGTCAACAGCAACAAGACGTGATAAGCTGATTAGTTACTGTAATGGAAAATGTTCAGTCGATAGATATTAATATCTTCGGGAAACTACCAAGACAAATTGCTAGACATCTTGGGTTGACCAATCCACAGGAGTCTATCGATCATAGTTTTAGGCGGTCATCTGCAACCATGCTTGCATCTGCAGGACGAGATGTTCTAAAGTTGAAGACGTTTGGCGGTGGTACAATCTTACCTAGATATAATCAACTCGAAATAAAATTCCGAAATCAAATCAAATTTTTAGCAGACAACCAGTTAAGCAGGCAAACTCAAGCAATGCTATTGCCGGTACTGATATACTGTCTATTACATCCAGGTGTTATAAGTTGCCTAGAATTAAAAAAGTTAATTGCAAACGAGATTGCAAAGTAGATTGATTCCTTGTTAAAAATGAACAACCAATAAAGAAGTTAAGTTCTTACTTTAAATTAAATTGTCAATAAAAGCTTACAAAAAACTTTTATTACACAGATTCTTATAAAAGGCAATTTTTGTCAGAAAAACGATTGTAGACTACTCATTTTCTATGAATAGTTATTGTATGTGGCGTAATTTGATTAAAAAATGCCAAAAATAAAACACTGAAAACTATAGCTAATTTACTGATGGAAATCTCTTGTCAAGAGCGTTGTGAATCAGTGACCATTGAATGTCCTTCGAGGAAGTGTGTCAGAAACTCTCGAAACGAGAAGGTTTTCAGACATCTGTAAAATATTTTGAAATTTGTACATATCTAACATCGATAAAATGTACCTTGTCTAAATGTATCTTGCTTCTTAAAAAATCAAAAATTTACATCTTCCAGGATAGACTACTTGGTACTTCAAAGTATAATGTACTAATTAAATTATCACAAGCAATATCAAAATAATTCTCCCTAATAACTATACAGGGTGATTTAAAATTCAGTGCAATGAATTTAGGGGCGTATTTTTGAGGTCAAAATAAGAATTTTTTTCCTATGAACGTGGGTCCACAAATACTTAGTTTTCGATATACAGGATGTTAAAATTTTTTATTTTTTTAGAAATAATTTCCAAACAAATTTGAATGTTGGCATAAAACTTGGAGTACGGGGGTTTTTTAGGATGCTAAATTTAAATATATCATTGATTTTGACGCTGCTTGTAGAGGGCGCCACCTATAAGGGTATGCTTGAATTGAATTGGCCCTAACTTTTTTGCTACCCTGTACATTGATGTTTCGTATTAACGCGTTTGATCCCCTATCAATTTTAAACAAAAAAGGTTTACTCTCTCGAAATCTCTTAGGTCAACTGTTTCCGAGATATTGGCTGATGAAGAGTTAAATGCACACCATATTTTCAAATAATTTTATTAACTATTTACTGTAAATTTTTTTAAAATTTATTCACTATCTAATAAGCAATGCAATGATATTAAATTTTAACTCTTTTCATTTTTTTGATACAACTAACCGCTTTCGATGAAATCACTGCTGACTAGTGACAATACTACCCTAAAAAAAACCATTCCGCAACTAAGCATTTGTGGACCCATGTTTATAGGAAAAAAAAAGTTTTATTTTGATCTCAAAAATACGCCCCTAAATTCTTGTACGGAATTTTTAATCACCCTGTATAAACGACAGACTAAATCTCAAAGACATTTAATAAGCTACTTGCTTCTTTTGATTGAAAATTGATTCCTGCTTATTATTTAAAATCAAAGTATTTAAATATACAATTTAAATTTTCACACTAATAGTTATTAATGCTTCCCGAAACAAAAATCAAAAGAGCTGCATATTTTAATTTTTCGTGTATTTGAATTCAAAACGTTCAAAAGAGTTACAGCTTTTTGAAAACATTTGAAAACACTAGCTAAGTTAACTTGAAAATAAATGATGATGTCCGATAAATAGCAAGAAGAAATAGTTACTCTCTTCATAAAGGTACTTCTTCCATTTGGAAAAATACCAGTAGAACCAATACGTTTGGTTTAAGCAGAGGAAGTTTCAAAAAAAGATATTTTGCTTGGTATAAAATTATAGAATTGTTGTACTTAAACAGAAGAATATTAAATATATTATAAATTATTATACTTAGTTTTTGAATTTTCTCTTCGTAATATGAAATGTGCGACTCTTATTTCGAAATAGTTACTAAAGTATGTTGTAAGTATTCACCACTACCTTAAAAACAAGACTAATAATAATAATTTGGTCCTGTCTCTTGTTTTGTGAAAAATATATATCTTAAGAAATGAAAATTTTATAAAAGTATCTGAACCTAAAATTCGTTATCCTTCTCACTCTTATGTGAACAGATAGAGTACAAACAGTTTGGAAATTGATGGTTTTCACGCAACTTACATTATTTACTTCCGTTTAATTTCTGAACTTAATTTTAGTATTATCTATAAATATAGCTTAACAAAACATTCTCTAAGAAACCCGTCAGTATTTGAATATGTATAATCAATTTACCTAATGTATCAGTTTGGAGTTTGGTTAATAAATATTTTTGTTAAGACTATTTATATAATTTTAAAACTAGATTAGATATTTATAGCAGTGACAATGCAACGGTCATTGTTTAACATTCTAAAGTTATTTCTGAATTCCTCGTACCAAACGGTCAATTATAACAATGAAATCAATTAAGCTATAAATATTTGGAAGTATTAGCGATGGTGAAACGCAAAAGCGAGAGATGGAATTTATTACTCATTCTGTGCGATCGCAAATACTTATATTGAAATCTCGTCAATGTAGACTAAGGACACGCTCCAATTAAAGAAGGCGACCACAGAGTAATGTTGCAGTCGTGTCTGCCATAAATTGTAATTGTTTTTGTTCGAAATGTATATTTCTTTATTATTAAAGGCTATTTTCCATCAGTTGCTGATATACGTAGGTAGGTATCTACATTCTCGTTTATTTTCCTTAAATCTTTTATTAACCTCGAATTTTACTCTTCTATCGAATTGTTTTCTACAGTTTCATTATCCTATTTTATTCAAAAAGCTGTAATAAATTGTTATTGTTATTTTTGTACTGTTTCTTTCATCGAAAATAAAAATAAAAAAATAGTGTTTCACATTATTATAAAAAAAACATGTTTACTTACCTACCCGTTTAGTTCATAATACTGGGTGTTCTAATTAAAACTTCTTAACTGGAAAATTAAATTAAAAAAAAAAACAAAAAACCTGAGACACGTCTATTTTCTTTTCAAGGGAAACACGCGATGGGGTAAGTGTCTTGGAAGCTCTTAGACAGGGGTGTAAAATACCATTAAACTTTAAATGGTATTATATGTTGAGTGACATTCATTTTAAAGCTTTTTCAATTCCGCTCAGGACGACATACGACTTTTTAAATTTTGGTTTGGATATGATAATAAAATCATCACTTAAAGAAAAAAGTCTAAGGGTGTTAGATCTGGCGATCTGGGAGGCCACTCTATTGAACATGTGCGTCCTATCCAGTGATTTGGAAAGTTCTGATTAAGAAAATCACTCACAACTATTTCATAGTGTGGTGGAGCATCATCCTGCTGAAACCACACATCCTCTTATGGCAAAGCGTTGTCATTTTCCGATACTTCCACAATCATCGGGTAGATATTCATTTCCAGTAGATTCATTGTCAGACGCATGTTTCCATCCAGATTTCCCGGTAGGAAGAAAGGCCTTATGAGGTGGTCTTCCAGTATACTCGTCCAAACATTCAATTTTCTCGGATATCGCGTATGAGTTTCATGAAAAATGCGTGGATTTGCATCACTCCATTAACGGCAATTATGGCAGTTGACGCCACCATCCAGTTGAAACGTACATTCATCGGAAACAGATTGA